TCTTTACTTCCTGCACTCATCCATTTGTATGCGCAACGTTACATACCACAGACATGCACCAACTGGCCCAGCAAGAAGTTCTTCTTAAATGTTACATAAGTTGAGAGTAAAGACACCTCGATTAGTGAGGTGTTTTGTTGTTGTTTTTAACAATGTAATAGAAAGGTATGAATGGGCTATGAAGGTATGAATGTGAAAGGTTATTTGCAGATGATTGTGTAATTTACCGCGAAATAAACAATGAATATGATAACCAAATTCTACAGTCAGACCTTGACACTGTCTCAACCTGGTGCAATAAATGGCTTATGACTCTCAACTCTAACAAATCTAAATGCATGTCAATAACCCGGCGATCTATTTCTCCCCCCTGTACCTACAGAATTAACGCCGTTCCCCTCCAGCATGTCTCTTCATATAAGTACCTCGGCGTTTACATTACCAACAATCTATCTTGGCACACGCATGTTACCTACATCTGTAATAACGCTAACCGAACGCTAGGATACTTACGCCGCAACTTTTCTCGCGCTCCGCTGTCCCTCAAAATTCTATTATACCGATCACTAATTCGCCCAAAGCTTGAGTACGCGTCCGCTATATGGGATCCCGTGCAGCAAAATTTAATTAACGCGTTAGAATCTGTTCAGAACCGCTCAGTTCGGTTCATTTGTTCTAATTATTCCCGTACTGCTAGCATATCAGAAATGAAATCTAACCTTGACCTACCCAATTTAACTGTCGGAGGAAACTGGCGCGACTGCATTTTTTTCATAAGATATTTTTTCACAATCCATCAATGAAGCGAGACCTCATTTCACAACCGTCATACCACCCATCGCGCATTGATCATCAGCATAAGGTTGCCATTCCGTTTTGCCGCACCAAATTCTTTTCAGCAGCCTTCTTACCGAAAACAGCCGCCGATTGGAACCACCTTCCCTCTTCCGTTTTATCAATAACAGACCCTTTGTTATTCAAGACTGCAATTTCTCAGCAATGCTTGTAACTATACGCAGTTTCCATTATCTATCTTTGTCTTGTATATGCTTGAATTCTTATACATTTTTAGTTGACTTATGTTGCCTTCCTGATTTGCGCATCTGATACTTGTTTCTTTATTTTGTCTTTTTTTCTTGTGTGTTATATATGTTGTACCCACCCCCTCTGTAATGCCCTACGGGCCCTGAGGGTATTCTAATAAATAAATAAATAAATAAAGGTATGAATGGGTATTTGGCAGGCACTCCCAAATAATGTCAGGAAATCTGCATACTGCCAGATGTGACGTATGGGGCTGAAATATGGAAAATAATAAAGCAACTAGAGCGTAAGCTGAGCACCATGCAGCGTGAAATGAGGCGTAGAATGATAGGAATAACATTGAGAAGAAGGCAGAATGAATGAGAGAGGAGCTTCAGATATCCTAGCTGACATCAAGCGAAACACAATGGACTTGCATCGAAGAGTGAGAGCAACAGAAAACGCACTCTATGAATCTTGCAGTGGGCAGGGTGATAACCTTTGTTGGATTAGTGCACGGTTATTCTGCGAGCAGGCTGTCTGTACACTTTAAGTGCGATTCACACGAGGGAGAAATTACCGGAGGGGAAGCAAGGATGGCGCATCACGTGACGACTTCACGGGTTAGTGTGTCGACGCGACCTCCTCGCAGCTCTTCGGGGGAGGCGGGGATCGTTTCTCCAACCAGTCAAACGAACCCCGTGCATTGAGGGATGTAGCGGAATTTCGGGTAAGTGTCTGGCCACATTATAGCCCTCTTTCCTGCAGTGCCTGCAGAATGTGGCTGCTCCAGACTTGCGTACACCGTGATGGGGAAACTGAAGGATGAAGCAACTTTTTTCTTTTCTCTCATGAACGAATATCCTCGCATGTGGGACATCTCTTTTGATTATGTAAAAGTAACCGTAAAGTATGGTGTGTGGGAGACGATAGTCAAGCAGATGATGGAGCGCTACCATCTCTATGAAGAGATATTTAGTTTTTTTTTTAAGCGGTTATTCTGATAAAAATTGTGACATCGCCCGCTTTTGTTGTTGTTACTGCTGCTGCTACTGCTCTGCTTGTTCAGCCTGGTGGAGATGTCTTACTCTATGACGAAAATCCTTTAATGGGCCTTATTATTCAAGACTAGACGTTTAATATATAGGCAGCCATAAAATCCGAGAGCTGCTTCTTATTTTCAGAAACATGAGATACTTCACATTTTACTTTATCGGCTGCACTGATACAGCAGAATCTTAGGCTGAGTTCGTATAGCGAAAACAGAATTAGTCTTTTATTACCTTGTGTTTCGAAATTATGATGAAACGCTTGTAGAGATAATTGTTAAATGTTAATAGGCTAGATCCTTTCCGTTCTCGGTTGTTCTCATGAGAGAAATGCTATGATAGCATCATTTCTTCGTTCACAGAAAGCCAACCGACATCGAAAGATACTGAAATTCTTATTTACCGACTCAATAGTTGTATTTGACGAGTCAGAGAGGCTGTGAGCAATTTCATAGTCGAACAAAAAAAAAAGAAAAGCCATTGTCAATCACGCTGCCCGGAATGTCGATTTGGGCGAGTTCGTTTTTGCAAAAAAGAAAAGCTTGTGGTGGCAAGTCAAACCAAGAGCAATGCTATGTCTGTATTCTGCACAAAAACAAAGACATATAAACAAGAAAGTTTTTAAAAGCACCAAAGCGGCAGGGGGGGGGGGAGGGGGAAGGGGGCTGCAAATTGGGCACTTCCCTCAAACCACACCAACACTTTCCTCAGCTTTTCTCCTTCTCCAGTCAAAACACAACGTTGCTTTGACACCCCCCTCCCCTCCTAGACGAAAGCTTGCCGATATCTATGACTGGGGGTCAAAGAATTCTTCAGTGCTCCCCCCCCATCATATGGTGGAGGCTCTGGCCACACTGATCTCCTCCACCGTTCGCTTCATCTGCGTGAGTGAGGGACATTTGGGGGGACTTATCCATGCCGGTTGACGTCACTAGGCTTCGCCTTTATCCCCCATGTGTTTCTCCCTCGTGTTAACCTTGCTCTTAGGGGGCAACATTGTTGCAAGGTCCCTGTCGTATAATTGGCATTCCATTGTACCGTATATGGATCAGCAGTCAGATTAGTGTAAAATTCAGTAATTCAAGTATCTTTTGAATACACTTTGTATGGGTGATGCAATACACTGAACATTATTTGTTACATTGAGAACAATGTACATGAAATAGAACGAAATATTTAAATATTTTCTAGTTTGTATTTAAAAAATAATTCTGCATTACAGCCATTATCGGACAATCAGCACTCTACCGCAAAAACAAGTTTTCTGCACATGACTGAAAAAATGGTGTTTTAATGCAAGTTCTGGCTCCAGTGGACTTCACAGGCATGTTACAAATTATCTTTTAAAAATACTAGTGCTGCCCCACTAGGCGAAAAACATTTCACATTGGTGCAAACAGAAAAAGACGTGTATAAAAAATGTAACTTTGTTGTGAGTTCAGGTATTCCAGGACCAGGCTGACCTCACCTCAGGCTCTTCTCAAATTTCCATGCTATCTTCCAAAGTTGCATATATATATGGTGGTACTGGCCTAATAACAGGATTGTTTACTCTTTGCTTTGTTGATCATGACATCAAGGATGCCAGCCGTAATGTGCATTTCCTTTCTGTGAATAGGCTTGTCTATCAGTATTCCACCTAAATGCCCTTGTGCGAGTTCGTTTCTGGCTGTCCCTCACAAAGGCTCACTCTCATCAGACTACCCTTACTCTGCCACAGTTTTATTCTTGTCACATTTTTTAGAAGTTATTGATGTCATTGCGGAAATATTGTCCGTTAATTTTCATTCCTATTTCTTTCTAGTTTAGTCGTTTGAGCACTTCTTTTAGACAAGCAGTGACACACAGTAGAGAGATCCTAGATCGACGGCTTTTTTGATAAGCATTTTCCCGATTCTCTTGAGTATGAGCAGGGTAGTTATTGGCTGTGGTACTCACAAATGTTTCAAGTGTTCTCCACATTGGAATGTATTCGAAGCTGCAGGTGGCTGATCGCTCTCCCTCAGACTGTGGAACAATTTGACTGTGTGGCGCACATGTGGAATAATTCCACAAAATCAGTCCTGGCCAAATGCCCTGTTAAGGAATGTACTGCAGCGAGCTAGAGAAGATATTTGAACTCTTCTTAAAGAATATAATGTTGTACATTTAAAGCACTGGTTCTCTAAAAAAAAAAACAGAAAGCATTGTAGTTTCTTAATATTTCTGTGTAATTCAGTTATTTTTGTGTAACTACTCCCTGTGCAGTTCAGTGAATCTGTCACGCTACACACTCAGAATTCGTTTATTTTGTCGCTTCTCAACAATCTTATTTGTTGATTGTCTATGCCATGATCCTTTTTTTCTGTGTGTGCTTGTGTGTATGCGTGTGTTCTAGATAGTTGTGATTCTTCTGTCTTTGCGTCTAATACTTTAGAAGTCACTCAAGCATGATAAATTGTGCTCCTTGTATGTTTATTATGTCCATGAATTTTTTTTTTATTTGATGCATGTTTTTCTTTCCTAATGTAGCAATACACATATCTTGCAGTGTATAGTTGAACCCCTTTAGCAGAGACATGCTCTGGGTCGCTGTTCTTGTCTCTTATATGAGATATTTCTTATAAGAAGGGTATCTCGTATGCATTTTCTTATCGCATATTTTAATGTATGCACAACAGTGTCTTTTATACCCATTTGTCTCTTATATCAGTGTCTCATATAAAGGGAATCAACTTATAGCTAATTCAAAGTAGATATTAAATAATCTTTAATTGCAATTTCTGAATTCAGTGCGGTGAGTAAATTAAAATGCATATATATAATTGGTTTCTTTTCCTGCAGACAATGTTAATTGCAATGAAGCGAGAGCTCTCTGAAGGGTAGAACGCTTGAGCCGTTGTGGCTGGCTGTGTGTGCTCTTCAGGGAAGGCAATGCCTGTCGTGCAGATTGTGTACATTGCGCCTCTGAAGGCCTTGGTTCGGGAGCGGATTGAGGATTGGAAGATTCGGCTCGAGGAGAAGCTGGGAAAGCGCGTGGCCGAGCTGACCGGGGACGTCACCCCGGACTTCCGCATGATCACCTCGGCAGATGTGATTGTGACGACACCAGAAAAGTGGGATGGAATCAGCAGGAGCTGGCACACCAGGGGATACGTCCAGCAGGTGTCACTCATCATCATCGACGAAATCCACTTGCTGGGTATGTTATGCCGAATTTAAACTTGCCTTATTGTGCCAAGACACGATCAACACTGCCTAGATTGGTTAAAAATTGTGAGTGAATAGAAATATAAGAAAGAATAAAATCTTTGATGATCGGAATAGTGAGCAGAGTCATCAACTAGTAGGGCTGCAAAGATGGTTGCGATCAAATGCGCAAGGCACAAGGGCAAAACCTGATGCGATCACAATGCACTGCGATATTTACACTATAAGTGATATCGTGTTATAGCCAAAACAAGATTTTCCAAAGGCAGCACGCATGCATCTCAACTTTTCAAATGTTGTAAGGTCCAAAGACCCATGCAAAAAATGAATACAGCACAAAGAAAGAAAGTGCAGCAAAGTGCTGTTACTCACTCTGTGGAATAGCACCACACAGAAACAGTGTCAAATGTTTTCATTTGTTCAAAGCCGGTATTTCTGTCCAACCTGTGGAGGAGAGTGACATCATTGTCTTCATCTTGTGGTCTGCTCTATTAGCAGCTGTTTTAAAATGAAGTCTTCACAAGGGAGTCACCCTTCACATCAACATCATTGGACCTGTCACATATTAAGGGACGATTTACGTCAGAGTGAAAGGCTCAAGATCACTAAATCTAATTTAGAAATTAAGGTGAATGCACATCATATGTGCCACGAGTCGGACATTCTGAAACGATCACAATATTGTCAAAGGGCCAAAGTACAATTCGTCACTAAATTTGGCGACAACTTCTCTTGACAGCACTGTGGATGCCACAGAACCAAAGCGCACCTGCTGCCGTGCCAAAAAAATAGTACTTAAGTTTATCGATAATTTTTTCACTTGCCTTGCTGAAATAAATATTGCTTTATTTATGATGAGACTGAAACATATGTCGAAAATTGTAGGCAAAATACAGTTATTGTTTATCTTGCAAAGATGATTTCCTTTTTTTTCTATTTCTTGAACAGCAACACCTTTTCAACCACCTGTTTTTCAAGAAAAAATGGCATCCGTCAGCGTGGGGCCGCAGAGGCGCAGCTTATTTATCCAAGAAAAATATGCTTGTAATGGTTGTGGGAATTGAGGCTAGCCCGCTGCCTTTGCGCGGGCTTTGCCGCCTTTTCTGCCGTTCTCATGTCCCGACATGTCTGCCCTCCTTTGCTGTCTGCCGCGCTGAGAGAGCAGAGTGACGTTTAACTCCCTCACCCGGTAGCGGATGTTGAAGGTGGCGCCGCGCGTGGGGACTCCCAAGAGAGGTTTTCGCGCGCTGCGTCGGGAGCGGTCAGATACTCTCCGGGACAGCAAACGGTGAGCCACGCTATCTTTCCCGTCCGTCGACTCCCGTCGCTCGGGGCTCGTCGGACTTCGCTGACGGCGCCTCGCGCCCGATGCGAACGCTCACCTTTTGTTGCCTCGCTGCGTACTCACGGCCGAAGGGCAGTACGGTGTCCTAGTGCGTGGCCTCGCTACGCCGACCCGTCTCCCTTCGAAGCCAACGCGAGCGCCTTTGCCCTCGCTCGAGCAACCGGGCCTTTGTTCCGGTGTCTCCGTGGATCACCTTTACCGCGGAGACGTGCTCGTGGCACCCCTGTGTAGTACTTTGTGCCCGTGGCGTGGATAAGCCTACTTGCTTTCCCGCCGCGCCTTTTTGCAACGGGCTGTACTGGGTTGGTGTTGCCACAATAAAGTGTTGCGACTTGAGCAGTATCGTGTTTCCCGCCACGGCGACGGTTAACGCGTGCCCTGCGGCTCGCTAAGACCGGACCCACGCTGGTGGCCGTACTCCTTCGGGATACGTGTACACCACACTGGCGCCCAACGTGGGGCCGGTCTTAGCGAGCCGCAGGGCACGCGTTAACCGTCGCCTTGGCGGGAAACACGATACTGCTCAAGTCGCAACACTTTATTGTGGCAACACCAACGCAGTACAGCCCGTTGCAAAAAGGCGCGGCGGGAAAGCAAGTAGGCTTATCCACGCCACGGGCACAAAGTACTACACAGGGGTGCCACGAGGACGTCTCCGCGGTAAAGGTGATCCACGGAGACACCGGAACAAAGGCACGAAGCCGGTGCGACGACGCAGACTTTGCTGCAAAACGCCGTGCAGATGATCCAAGCACTCTCGGGAGCTGTGCAAACTCTTTCGGCTGGTCCGAAAAGCGGTCACCCCGCTGTTATGTTGCCTGTGCCAACCTACAGCGGATACGGTGATCAGCTCACCGCCCGAGATAAGGTGGTGCTCGAACGTGTTGTTCCAGCTGCACTGACTGACACGGCGGCGAGATGGTATCGGCTTTCCGGTTATCGTGCAGCAAACCTCGAGGAATTTCGTGCGGTCTTTTTGCGCGAATTCCTACCCGCTGACTACGAAAGTAGGATGCGGCGAGAGCTCGAGCTCCGTACACAAGCTCCTGACGAGTCTTTACAGGAGTATGTACGGGCGATGGATGAACTTATTTCTATCGCTGAGCCTCGAACGAGGAACGCGTCGAACGGGTGATACGGCAGGCACATCCGACTTTTTCGGCATACCTGCGCGGCGGCCGCTTCAGTGATTTGGAAGCGTTGGCCGCCGAGGCGAAGCGCATCCAAGGCGACATTCTCGCCGCGCGTGCCTATCGCCCGCCGCCGCCAGCCAGCGACGCCCTTGAGCCGCGCTGCGCTTGGAGAGGGGCCATGACCCTTCCCCAACGGCAACAGCCTCTCGGCGCCGCCTTTGCGGCTGCAACCGGCTGTGCGTGGGAGTTGAGCGATCGCGCTCTTGACCCCTTTACGCATGAGAGGCGGGCAGCCTGTGCTGCTCCACCTAAAACCTCCACACAGGGACGCTTTTCGACCCAACGTAATGTGGGAGGTGCGGCTCGCAGAAACGTATCCTACGATAACGTAGCGAGCCGATCACGACAGCTCGAAGCTGCTCCATCTGGGAATACAGACCGTGATTGAGTGCGCTGTTACCGCTGCCGTGAAAGAGGGCACATAGCAAGGGAATGCACCGGATCCAGGCCTCCTGCGAGGCAGGGAAACGGGCTTCCGGGTCGTCCGTGAATGCACGACCGACCCAACCTTTGCTTCTTCCCTCTGCGTGCAGGGCAAGCACTTTTCTTGCTGATACGCACGCGCCGTTCATTCCGGTCACCATTGCCGGCCGTGAATTTTCGGCTTTGCTGGACACGGGCGCTAGCGCCTCGTTGTTTGGCGAACAGGTGTTGTTCCACTTGCAGAAGCACTCGGTGCGCTTGCGGGACAGCCGAACGACATTCACCCTTGCGAAAGGCGTGGCCCATTCGGCAGGCGCTGCAAGGTTGACTGTCCGATGGGGAGATCGAATGAGACGCTGCCGTCTTGTTGATCTTCCAGGGCTCAATGTTCCAGTGCTTCTCGGTCGGGACTTTCTCCTTAAAACCGGTATCGTTGTGGACATTGCGAATGGCGGCTATCGTGATGGCCCATTTTTGCCAACACAAGTCGTTCATCAGCCCGCCGGCGCTTACCGTCGCCTTTGCGGCAGAAGCGTCGGAAACGTGCCTTACGCAGAGTTCGGGGCCAAGCCCCCGCTCACCGCATTTGCCCTCTCACAGTCCCCTTCGGGAACGAGAGGCGCGGCACGAACCGTGTCGTGCGCCAACTCCGGGGTCGTACCCTGGCGTTCCGCGCTCGTCGGCTCGAAACCCCTATGTGGATCGACCGACACGACACGAAGAGGCACTACATCTTTTGGTCGCCTGCGCGACTCAGTTGGATGAAGCACAGAAGGCTCGTCTGTCGACACTGTTACGTCAGTACGACGAGCTTTTCACCGATCAACCTGGGCACCGATTTTGTGAGCCATGTGATCGAAACTGGTGACGCGCTTCCTTTGAAGTATAACCCCAGGCCCGTCAGTCTCGCCAAAAGGCAGATTATCGATGGGTTGCTAGATGACATGCTTGCGGCTGGCATTATTCGCCGCTCGTCTAGCTCCTGGGCGTCTCCAATTGTGCTGGTGCCTAAGAAAGATGGCAGTCATCGCCTGTGCGTCGACTATCGCCATCTGAATGGAGTGACTCGTAAGGATGCCTATCCGCTCCCCACGATAAACTCCATCGTAGGTAACCTGGGTGATGCACGGTACTTTACCACGCTTGACGCCTCTAAAGGTTACCTACAGGTCCGGATGGGTAACCGTGACCAGTGTAAAACTGCGTTCACGTCCCACAGAGGGTTGTTCGAGTTTACTCGTATGCCCTTTGGTCTTTGCAATGCTCCTGCGACGTTTCAAAGACTCATGGACCGCGTCCTCGGGGAAGCAAAGTGGTCATACTGCATGTGCTACCTCGACGACATCGTGATTTATTCACGAACCTTCGAAGAGCACTTGGCCCATGTTGCCGATGTACTCGAGAGGGTGCGGACCGCCGGGATGACACTTAACCCCGCTAAGGTTCAATTAGCGCAGACCCGTGTTCAGTTGCTCGGGTTTACGCTGGGCGAAGGCTCCATAGAGCCGGATCGGGAGAAACTTCGAGCTATTCTCGAATTTCCCGTGCCCAAGGACGTACGTGGCCTTCGCCGCTTTCTAGGAATGGTCAACTTTTACCGTTCCTTCATTCCGTCCTGTGCCCGACTGCAGGCGCCCTTGAGCAAACTCTTGGGTAAGTCTGCCGAGTGGCAATGGGGACTTGTGCAGCAGGAGGCGTTTTGCCGACTGTCTAACGCCATAGCGGAAACAGCGCAGCTCAAGCTCCCCGACCTGACCAGACCGTTCGTTGTACAAACTGATGCGAGCGATCTGGGTTTAGGAGCTGTTCTCCTACAGGAATACGATGGCGTGTTGCAGCCGTTGGCCTTTGCCAGCCGCTCCTTGGTCTCTGCGGAGAAAAATTATTCCGTGACCGAAAAGGAGTGCCTCGCCATCGTGTTTGCACTGCGGAAGTTTGACGTCTATCTTGATGGGACGAAATTCGTAGTGCAAACGGATCACAGTGCGCTCAGCTGGCTGATGCGTGCGGCTCCGTGAGCCTGCCGGCAGG